AAAAGAGGGAAAATACTGTGTAGTTATACAATTTCTAAATGGTAAGGAAGTCAAGAGGGTTGCAAGATAGAATGGACTATTCTAAACTCGGGGAGGAAATTATAAGTCACAGAGTAACTCAAAGAAAAATAATAAACCTTCACATTACAATAAAAAAAAAGAGGACAAGCACACACACACAAAAAAAAGGACTCAGTTACTTATAAAAAGTAGGACATTGATGTTCTCCGAAGGAGAATCTATTTAAATGTGTCATTGATAAAGTTTTTATTTTTGTTTTTTGTTTTTTTGTTTTTGTTGCAATACCTATTTCCTATTGAGATCTACTAACTGAGGTTGTTGTTAGGAACCATGGAGCCAATTCCGTTTCATAGCAATCCCATGTGACAAAGTAGAATTTCCCTAGAGGCTACTACTCTTGGATGTAATCTTTTTCCTGTGAAGCCGCTAGGTGAGTTCAAACCAAAAACTCTTCAGTGGCTATACAGTTAAAACTATAATGGTCATGTTTTGACTCCCAATGAAGTTCTCAACATGAATATTTTGTTTGTCGTTGTTGTTATGTGCCGTCGAGTTGGACCTGACCCACAGCGACCCTTCCTTGGCTTTCCAAGATGTCACTACGGAAGTAGATTGCCCAACCTTCCTTCTGAGGAGTGGATGGTGGGTTTGAACACCAGCCTTCTGGTTAGCAGTCAAGTGCCTTAGGCATTATGCTACCGGAGCTCTGAATATTTTTTCTTTATTTTTAATAACTGTTGCAGGACATTGAAATGGAAAAAGTTATAAGAGAGATGTTGGTGGTGTTAGGTGCTATCCAGTCAGACGCCACTTACAGCAATCCTTTGTACAGCAGAAGGAAATACTGCCCAGTCCTGCATCATCCTCATGGTTCTTTCCATGCTTGAGCCCATTGTTGCAGCCATTGTGTTAATCCAACTCATTGAGGGTCTTCCCCTTCTTCACTGACCCTTCATTCTACCAACCATGATATTCTTCTCCAGAGAATGGTCCCTTCTGACAATGTAACCAAAGTAGGTGAGACAAAATATGGCCCTCACTTCCAAGGACCATTTCAGCTACACTTCTTCCAGGACAGATTTGTTCATTCTTCTGGCAGTCCGTGGTATTTTTAATATTCTTTGCCAGCACCACATTTCAAAGACATCAGTTCTCTCCATCTTCCTTATTCCTAGTCCAGCTTCCACATGGAGATGAGGCAATTGAAAATACCATGGCTTGGGTCAGGAGCACCTTAGTTTTCAAAATGATGTCTTTGTTCTTTAGCACTCCAAAGAAGTCTTGTGCAGCAGATTTTCCCAGCGCAGTATGACATCTGAGTTTTCTTTCTTTCTTTCTAATTATAATTTGATTGAAAGTTTACAGAGCAAATTCATTTTGCATACAGCAGTTGATACACATTTTGTTTCATGACATTGATTGCAATCCCCATAATGTAACAGCTCTCTTCCCACTTCCTTCTTGTGTTTACCCTTTCCCTGTGTCCTTCTTTCCAGTGCATTCTTGCTGTCTGAGCTATCTCCCTGTGCAAATACTGTCCTTCTGATCTCCCATAATTTATTGTTCTAAGGAATGTACCTCCCTGGTGTAAATGTTCACCTAATATACCTGTCTGTTGTTTTTCTGGAAGCCATGGAAGTGAGTTCAATTTCAGGGTGAAGGAATGACTGAAGGGTGACTAGGGGCCACAGTCTCAGAGGTTTCACCAGTCTCTATCAGACTAGTAAGCATGGTCTTTTTCATGATTTGCATTTTTGTTCCACTGTTTTCTCCCGTCTACCCAGGACTTCCTATTTTGATCCTTTCTCAGTGGTTGACAGTGGTAGCCAGGCCCCATCTGGTTCTTCTGGTCTCTGGGTCATGTAGGCTAAGATCTGTAATTAGTCCCATGGGCTAATTATTTCCATGCACTTTTGGTTTTCTTCACTCTTCTTTGCTCCAGATTAGGAGAGACCAGTTGTTGCCTCTAGGTGGCCACTTGCAAGCCTTTAAGACCCCAGTTGCTATTTACCAAAGTAGGATGTATAACAATGCTTTTATGCAGGAGGTCTGATTTCTTGAATGATGCTTCCATGGGTGTTGATTGTGGATCCAATGCAAAATAAAGACTTCTAACAAAATATTCAGGTTGGGAAACTTATTGGGAGTCCAAACATCACCATTATAGTTTAATAAGTGGAATAAGTCATTTTTAATATGATTATTAAAATCATGGATAAGTTTGTTTCTTATTTCAGGGTATGCATTTGTTTATATTGATGAGGAGAGAGATCAATTCAAACATTCAATTCTAAAGTACTAAGTGAATTTGGAGTCAGCTACTTAAGGATTGAAAATCTTCATTTTATGAGATGTAAAGTATTTTAGATGATAACATGAAAATTTCATAAGGAGGAAAATGGTGTTTTGTTGTCATTGTTTCCCAGGGTGCAGGGGAAAAGTATCTCATAGAAACCATATTTTCAAACATAACTAAATATTCTCAACCATTGACTTCTACTATTGACGATATCAAAACTCAGCACAGGCAGGAAGGAATTAGTTTTGTCTCTCTCATGTGGTACACTGATCCTCAACTTTTATCCTGACCTGTCACCTATTAACCTAAGAAATAATAATTTTGGATAAATCTAGTTGGTATACACTATGTTTCATACATAAAGACGTATACAAAAAGCATATTTATGTAATTAATGTTTATTTTATTTTATTTTTTAGGACTCATCAGCATGCCTACTATCTCATTTGGATTGTTTATAGGAGGATATATCATTAAAAAATTCAAACTTAGTTTGGTTGGAATTGCAAAGTTATCCTTTTCTGCCTTTTTGTTGTCTTTCATATTTCAACTGTCTCATTTGCTCCTACTCTGTGAAACCAAATCAGTTGCTGGCCTAACCTTGACCTATGATGGGTTTGTACATATTACTTATCAATTGTATAAAAGAATCCTAAGATAATGCAGCCCAACTATCTTATATTCCCTTCCTTTATTTGTTGAGACTCAGAGAAATTGTGAGTTGTTTGAAATGACACATGATTCCGAACAGATTCTACATTATACCATCAGTTCCAAGGGCTCCCTTGATTGCCAAGCTAGGCTTTAGCCTAAAGCCAGTTCCCTGAAAATAAGTATAGTAACTAATATCTATTCAGAAAAAGGTATCTAGAGATATATGGGAGTTTTGTTATTATTATTGTTATTCAATAAAATTTCATTGCATGCTCATTGAAAGGCCAAGAAGATTTGTAGAATATATCCATTCTGTTGTAGAACTGGTAGTTTAGTGATAACAAATAGCAGATATGCCACCAGAGTTCTCATAATTTATTGAGTATTTATGAAATGCTACTCACTGGGATAAAGTTATAATATATAAATTAGTATATAACAATACACAAAACTCAAACAGAAAGCCTTTGTGAACCTCAATTTTTTTTAGGAGTCTGAAGGACTCCTGAGACCAAAAGTTTGAGAATTGCTGAATTAATTTGTTTCCCAAAAAAACCCTATGAGGTTGATATGATTGTCTATGACTTACAAATGAAGAAATTGATTTTAGAAAGAGTAATCACATATCTAGGAGGTGACAGAACTAGTATGAACATAGGTCTATCTTGTTGCAATGTCTGAACGGAGTTCTGAACCATTTTGCTTAACCATTCCCAGTAGTGTGTCCTCAAATGACATTAGACATTAGATGTTTTTATTAAAATTACTGATAATATAATTTCTGAATCTACTTTTTTTTTCATTTAAATTATTTGCTCATTGAAAGATAATTCATCAATCTCAATTATTATAAAGTTTTCTTCAAAAATCAAGATTTTTAGAATTAAGAAACAAAACATAAATTATGCATATAATTCACATTTTGTTATTCTAGTCATATTATAGAACTATATTTTATAATGTGTAACCATATTATAAAGTAAATCATTATAAAGCATAATAATTTCATTTAAAAACTATATGGAGATTGACTAATATTTCTCAATTTATTGTGTTATTCCTTATTTTTCAAAACTGATCCTTAAGGGCTCTGCTTTACCATGCCAAAATTATCTTCTTAACAAAAAATATAGATTAAAATACAGATTTTAAAAATGAACCTTATTAAATAACATTCACAGACTCAAGGGACTTTCTTGTGAGCTGAGATGAACCACTGTCTACTGTCATTATCCTAGTGAAGAAAAAGTGAATCCCAGAAAAATGAAGTGATTTAGCTAATATGAAATTTCTCAATAGCACAACAAACACCTCGTTCTAAGTCTTACCTATCCGCTTTAGTTTTTAGGTTCCACTCATAGATCATAACCATGTCTTGGTAAAAATGGAAGATGAAAAATTAAATGAACGTTTAAAACAAACTTTGCCATTAGATGTTTATTAAACTTCTCTATCTAATTAAAAGGCTGGCGGTTCAAGCCCACCAGCCACTCCTCGGAAGGAAAGTTGGGCAATCTTACTTCTGTAGTGATACTGCCTCGGAAACCCAAGGAGGGGTCACTATGAGTCGGGGCCGACTCGACGGCACATAACAACAACAACAACATCTAATTAAAGGACAATTTTTCCCTTCCTTTATTTCTCTCTCACTTTATTTCTTGGTATTTTTCTATTATATATTTGCAGGAGAAAACCACTGGCATCACATATGAATGTACCACTTTCTTATTGCAATTCGGATTGCAATTGTGATGAAAGCCAATGGGAACCAGTCTGTGGAAAGAATGGAATAACTTACTTATCACCTTGTCTAGCAGGATGCAAATCTTCAGGTAGCAGTAAAAAACCTGAAGTTAGTATTAGTTTTATTTTCTCTCCTCTCCCAAATCAAAATCAGATGTTTGATTTAACAATTACTTATCAAATCATTCTACATCTAGAATATTCAGTAAAAATAGAGAAGAGAAAGATTTTTGGAAGTGTCTGTCATTGTAATAGTTGTGATTTTGTGTAAATAAAGCCTCATATAAAATCCTACGTGGGACACAAGTAGATTTTTCTTCTACTTCAATTTGAATGTGAGATTACCTAACTCCCCACCCCACCCCACCCCAGAGATTGTAAAAAGATGACCTTTTGGAATCTGAATTCATTAGGTCTCCAGGAAGCTCCTAATTTTTTTGAGTGATATAATTTCCATTAAGTTAGAGATATTTTATCTTTTGGAAGTTAGGAGATAGTCCTGAGCCAACTGATTTTTTTGTCAGCACAATCTACCTTTCCAGGACAAACATAGATTCTGGTTTATTTAATTTTGGGATCATTACCCTTTTAACTTTTCAGGAAGTAATCAAGGGATCATTTTCTTAACTTTAAATTTTGATTTCTCCCAAATTGGTGCATCTCCCATCCAGGATAACTTAGTATCCTGCTTACTTAATGCCAATGTTATCCACAGATATGCCATATCTTTCTTTGCACAAAACATTCTTTTCCATACAGACTACGGGTTCTCACAATTCCCTTAGGTAATTCTCAACAGGTGAGTATCAGGGATTCTATACCACAAATCACCTCCAATCCACCCAACATCTCACAAAGTTGGAAAACAGTTTCCTGGGCCCTTTTCCAATCTCCAACATTAGCAACATGATCTGCTGTGATCACTGTTTTCTGCCACACCATTCTGTGTCTAATTTTTAAGTAGTTTCCATCTTTCCCTTGACCATACTCCATCAATTATGTTATTGAATGACACTGAGAACATTGAAACTGGACTGCAACTTTAATAAACTGGCACAAATATGACCCAAAGACTATATTCAAAAGCCCACATATCACATTTATGGCCACTGAGAATTCTCCATTAATTCATGCTCCCACTATCCCCACCAATGAACGCCTGGGATAGATGTGATATTAGAATTTTAAAGACAGTTCTGTTTACTGTGAGATATCATCCTCTTATTATTGGCAATAAGTGTACCATTTGGAAGCTATTAGGACATTTTCTTCCGAAATCCTTAGTAATCAAATATTTCTTGCTAAATAATGTTCTTTCTCCTCAACTTTGGTTTTGCTGGCTTTATAAGAGAGTCCCTCTATTTTATTCCTAGTGAAAAAGGAAAGTCAGACAAATATGGATTTAAATTCTTTCTCAATTTCTTCTTCAATCATTAATCTTTAGCATTGAGTGGTTCAAGGTAAACTTCCTTTGAATTTCAGTTTACCCTAGACTCAGAACAGAATTTATTAAAGTTACCTGTCTAATTTAATAAACTTCCTCCCTGATTAAAAAAAAAAAAAAAAAAAAAACCTCACTGCTGTAGAGTGGATTCAACTCATAGTGACCCCTATTTGGATTTCTGAGGCAGTATCTCTGCAGAAGTAGATTGTCCAATCCTCCTTCCAAGGAGTGGCTGGTGAGTGTGGACCGCCAGCCTCCTGGTTAGCAGGCAAATGCCTTAGCCACTATACCACCAGAGCTCTTGCCTCCCTGATTTGATATCTAAAATTATTTGTTCACAGAATTCTTCCCTTCTGGACTCTAAGCATTGGTCAGGATGTTCTGTTATGTTGAACCTCTCTGGTAATAACGTCATCCAAATAACAACTGCAAACAGTCGTTATACAATTGGATGTTGTATTTGTTCACCAAAGTGGAGTTCCAGCTCCCCTACCTGACACCATTTCAAGACACTGGACTCTAAGTCTCATTCTACTGTATACATCTGGTTCCAAATTTGACCCCACCAAGTACAGTTTTCTGTATTGTCTGGGCCCTTCACAGGTGTATCTCTGATACTTAATATTTTTATAAGGTTAAGTGAATGTTTTTGAGAAAGGAAGAGCATGGGGGAGGGGAGAAAAATTAAGTAGAACTCATATTAATGAGAAAATTATATGTATAGTTTCAGATATTCTTTAATTTCTCAAATTCTTTCTTAATTTTAAAAATTAAGAATAAACTAAATGTTAATAGTGAATTACAAGTCCTCATCTAGCAAGATATCTGGAAATGATTTTGTTTTTCAACTATTAAGCAAGTGTACTTTTTAAGACTAATATTATTCTAGTTCAAATGGATGAGATTTATTTAAATATAACAGAATGTGTTTATGGCTGTGTCATTTTTGAAATGGTATTCTGTAATATTTCAAAAACTATTTTAGGTGTTTTATAACTGTAGTTGTGTGGACATAACTGGTTTCAAGAACAGCAGTAACTCGGCCCATTTGGGTGAATGCCCCAGAGGTGATCGATGTACAAGAAACTTACGAATATATATAGCAGTGCAAGCCTTGGGTACTTTTTCTGCTGCATTGGGATTCACCCCTAGTGTCATGCTTATTTTTAAGTGAGTATTACTTTTAAAAAGCATATTCATACATGTTAGATTCTAAATACACTGAATAATTTACATATTTTTCTACAATATACTTGACATCTATATTCAGATCTTTTTAAAGATACATCTAGTTTATTTTATTTACTTTTTATTGTGGTTTGAACGAAAGTTCATAGAGCAAACTGGTTTTCCACTCAACTGTTCGTACACATTTTGTTTTGTGACATTGAATGCAATCCTCATCATGTAACATCACTCTTCCCACTTCTTTGCTGTGGTTACCATTTCCACTGGCCCTTTTTCACTACCCATTCCAGGTTTCTGAGCTTTATTCCTAGGAAAATGTTGCCCTTTTGATCTCATACGGTTGATTGTTCTAAGGAGTGTGTACCTCTCTGGTGCTATTTTTCACCCCATAGGCTTGTCTACTGTTTGGCTGAAAGTTGAGCCAGAGGGATGAGTTCAATACCAGGCTTGAGAGGTGACAAAGGGCCATTGTCTTGAGGGTTCCACCAGTCTCTATTAGACCAATAAGCAGGGTCTTCTTTTCATTCTTTTTAGTTCTGTTTCATATTTTGTCTAAGATCTTCTATTGTGGTCTCTTTCAGAGTGGTTGGCAGTAGTACCCAGGGACCATCTAATTCTTCTGGTTTCAGGGTCCTAGAGGCTGAAGTCCATATGCTCCACTATCCCCTTTGACTAATTGTTTGCATGTATCTCTGATTTTCTTCAGTCTTTTTTGCTCTAGGCAGAGAGAGATCAATAGTTACATTTTAGATGGCCTCTCACAAGACTTTTAAGACCTTAGTTGCTACTCACCAGAGTAGGATGTAGAACATTGTCTTCGGGTACTATATTATGCCAGTTGACCTTGATACCCCCACGACTGTGGTCCTGAACCCACAGGTACAGAGAGTCATTCCCTCAAGGTGTGTTGTTATGGGTAAGAAGTTTTCATAACTTTGTCACCTATTTAGTACATGCATGGATATTTTTACAGCACAAACATGTAAGTAGGAATATCATCTGCCAAATCTATACATGATCATGGGTATATCCTATTTGCCTATCAATACCTGATCATCTTGCCTGTCTACCTATGTATCCACTCATGGATTAATGTTTGTGATTACTGATAATGCAGGATTATGTATGTAATGGTATTTACCTTTGTTGTGTGTAACTCTTCTGAACTTCTCATCTTCCTTTTCCTTAGTAATATTTTTCTGGTCAGCCCCTTTTTGTATATTGCCTTTCCCTTCATCCAAATTAATACACATTTCTTATCTAGTTAGTGGTTTTCCCTCCTTTCCCCTCCAATCCCTGGTAACCATCCAAGAATATTTCTCTCCATATGTAAACCTTTCCTTGACTCTTATATTAGTGGTCTCATACAATATTTGTCCCTCCAATTGACTTACTTTCCTCAGCATAATGTCCTCCAGGTTCATCCATGTAATGAGATGTTCCATGGACTCTTCTTTATTCTTTAACTTTGCATAGGATCCCATTGTGTATATGTACCATATTATGTTTATCTATTAATCTGTTGATAGGCATTTAGGTTGTTTCCACCTCTTTGCTATTGTGAATACTGCTGCAAAGAACATG